TATCACTCCTATCTGATCTTGCTCTAAATTTTCTGTAACCCCTTCCGTCCTAGTGGTTTCTCTTGCTAGGGGTGAAACGCTTAATAAAAACAATATATATCGGAAACTTCACAAAGCCATGTTAATATTTTATTTCGGAAAATCGAGAATTCCATATCGCTTCGTCAGACCTGGCGGTTTCAAAACAATGAATGGATTGTATATATATACACATATATCTTACTTATTATAAAACGCAGATTGTGTGTGTGTCTGTGTGTGTGTGTGTGTGTGTGTGTGTGTGTGTGTACGTTTATATATTAGATCGGATTTCCTACATTTTTCAACCGATTTCAACAAAACTTCACAGGACTATGTAAAATTACTTTGCGGTGGTTCTGACAGCGCCAAAAATTGGAAAAACACAATTGTTTTTGCACGAAATCAATTTGAAAAAACGATTAAGAGGCATGAAAGGGGGACAACTCATATCGAGTTATACTTATTATAAAACCCAGGTTGTGTGTGTGTGTGTGTGTGTGTGTGTGTGTGTGTGTGTTTTCGTTTATGTATGGGATCGGATTTCCTACATTTTCCAACCGATTTCAACAAGACTTCACTTATTTTTGGCAGGTAGTGTTTCTTATTGTCTTGCACACTTTTTTCTTTATTTTTACATTCAGAATGGTTTAAAAATTCCATTTACAAGACAATTGTTTATAATAAAATTCTATTCAATCGGGAGACTCATAACGATTGAAAACAATGTTTTTGTTTGAGTTTGACCAATTCATAAAAAAAAAAAAAAAACTAATTAAGACATGCGTGTCCATCAACCTTAAACAATAATCTTTGTCAATTTTATTTTTCAGTCTTTATGATGGTCGATACATGATCTATCTCTTATTGTTACATCCCGGGCAACGCTGGGCTCTACTACTAGTATATATATAAGACTATATTCCTTTTTACATACATACATATATATATATATATATATATATATATATATATATATATATATGTATTTTGTTTTATTATAACTGCTGCTCAATATGACTTTATAGGCAGAAAAGTGTTAATTCCTCTTTATTGTGTTTTCTTCCATGTCATTGTGTAGGAATGTTTTTCCCGAAATATTTACGTCATTAACGAATGGGTCGTAATTTTAACGCTTACATAAGCTCTGATAGCAACAACGTTTCTCCCATAAAGACATTATGCCTTAAAAACTATATTTTATGGACATATTTTAGTCGTGGAATTCGCAAGGAGCTTATTGAGCCATTAACATAAGAGTTAACATTCTTCAAAACTTCATATTGGAAAACTGAAATTTTCGCTTGTATTTCTTGACACAAATAGTGAATTTCCAAGCGTAGCTTAGATGTGGCACAAGGCCGAAAGTATGGGGCAATTAAAGTCATTATAGCTGTTAAACTCACTGAAAAATATTTAATATCTTAAATGTGATGTAATTTTATTGATGTTGGATGTTTTTGTTAATGCTTCGAGTATTTGTAGTCGTTTTCTTTTTTTTAATAAAGCATGTTTTATAGAAACTTTGTGGCATTAGTAAAACTTTCGACACGAACTATGACGGAAACATAGAAATCCAAGAGATATTTGAAAATTAAGTAACCGACGTAAATTTAAGTAACACAGACCAAAAAATAAAAACTGAAAAATCTTTGATAATGGAAATCCGCTTTTGTTTTCAAATCTGAAACTTCGACAACCGACATGCACTCGGCTAATTACGGAGGATGAGAGATAATGAATAAGTGGAAAGTGTTCGAAAAGAAAAATATGCTGGATATTTGCGGGAATTAATTAAAAAATAAAATCTGTCTACATTTCTGAAATGGGGGATTGTAACTATTTACATTCTTAATACATTTTGTCTTTTTGTTATCTCTCCTAAACCTTGTTCCGCCATCCATTTACTCAAACTCATTCTTCTTCCTCTATGTACCTTGTCCCTTCTGGACGTATGTGATCATGGCTCTCCCCAATTTCCTGTCCTTTGTAGCTCTTAATAAATGTTGTCTTTTTGTTATCTCTCCTAAACCTTGTTCTGCCATCCATTTACTCAAGCTCATTCTTCTTCTTCTATGTTCCATGTCCCTTCAGGATGTAAGCGATCATGGCTCTCCACAATTTCCTCTCCTTTGTAGCCCTTAATAAATTTTGTCTTTTTGTTATCTCTCCTAAACCCTGGTCCGTCATCCATTTACTCAAACTCATTCTTCTTCTTCTATATGCTGTGAAACTTCAGGACATTGGGGATCATGGCTCTCCACAATTTCCCATCCTCTGTAGCTCTTAATAAATTTTGTCTTTTTGTTATCTCTCCTAAACCTTGTTCCGTCATCCATTTACTCAAACTCATTCTTCTTCTTCTATGTGCTGTGAAACTTCAGGACATTGGTGATCATGGCTCTCCACAATTTCCTCTCCTTTGTAGCTCTTAATAAATTTTGTCTTTTTGTTATCTCTTCTAAACCTTGTTTCACCATCCATTTACACAAGCTCATTCTTCTTCTTCTATGTGCCTTGTCCCTTCAGGACGTTGACGATATCTTCGGAAAGCTTGCTAATCTACAAAAATTATTGAAAAAAAAAAGTGTTCCATGCTATTTAACCACAACTGGTGTATAGGGAGCCTTTGATTCTATCTTTCCCCTTAATGCAAAGGAAACGTGTCTCAAACTGTTCCAGCCGGAGTTTGAAATAACTCTGCCGATCCTAGCCATACCACCTTCGCATCTACAGTTAGGGTTACAACTCATGCCATATTACAAAATGATAAAGCATGTATATCTCAGTGATACCCGGTTAGTAAAGCAACACCTGAGGTTCTATATGATTTTAAGATAACTAAATAGATACATACATTACGACTGGAATAACTTTTGTAATTTTTAGATAACCATGACATATTTGGGAAGGACATTAAAAAAAACCTAGAGCCTATATTGGCAGCAAACCGCCTGCCTACGGATGGAAGATAAAATCAGTAAATATACAAAAATAGAAAGGGGCATAAGACAAGGATATGTCTTCTCGCCGGACTTATTAGACCTATACAGCGAGACACTTCTGAGCGAATTAGAAGTCCTATCAGGATTCATTAATGGCTGCCATAATCTTAACAACAAAAGAGATGCAGATGATTCAATGTTGATAGCAGAGAGGGAAAGAAAACTACAAGAATTGCTATAGAGGTTAGTGAGGAGAGGCGAGAAGAAAAGACTAAGCATCATTTGCATGAAGATAGAATGTATGGTTGTTACCTAAAGGGACATACAGGAGTGCCAGAGAAAAGCGATAATAACAACAAAAATGGCAATATGAGCTCTGGTAAAAAAATATTCCATGATAACAGCAAACATTCCAATATGAGCACTGGCAAAAAACGGAAGCTGAAGATATTAGATTTATAATCCCCAGAAATTCATACATAGTGACACAGGGCACAGTGGATAAAGGCGTTAGATCCAGTGACCGGACCCAAAGAGTGTGAGTTCAATATCTGGTTAAGGTGGTGGAGAGTGGAATTAACGGGAGATAATTGACATCCATTAGACATGGCACGTGGAACTAGAACAGTCTACCCCAGTGATCAAATAAAGAGATCATTTCGACATTCCAACCACCTGAAGAATGCTGGAGCGTACAATGGCCGAAACGTTGTGATAAATATGGCGACAAACATGAGGACAATAGTCCGAATAATGTAAATAGTGCCAAAATGTAGGCTATGAATAGATTCTGACGAGTTCGATGAGCACATACATCTGGGTGTTCGGGCACTGCAAAGCCCCCTCCACGAAAGAAGATAGATTCAGATCTTGTATAAAGGTTAATAGGAGTCTTGTTTGCTATAAAAATTCACTGGAAATTGACTCCCACCTCCATTGAAACTAAAATAACAATATGTTTATATGACAGAAATTTGTGGCGACGTCCTGGGTATGACGATAAACTACGTCTGGCATCAAGGTTTCTCATCGGGATGTTCTGAGGAACGTAAACCATTTCTTAATCATCGTTGTGAACTCTGACTCCGGATTTTTATACTAAAATTTTACCAGGAATGTATTTTTGAGAAATTAAAAGTAAAGAATTTACCAAAGCTTAAAAAATTATTCAAAAAAAAAAAAGAAAAAGTTCGGTATCAAATGACCCATAAGGACGTTGACATGCTCTTAAATAAACCAAGCGAAAACTAAATTTGTGGAAAGCCATGGATATGGTGTATAGTTGAAGAAATAGTGGGTTAAATATATGTGGGGTTAGGATGGCGGTTGTGATCAAAAGATTCAGGCCTGAATTCTTGTTTTCAAACTTAAGGAACCAGAAGACAGCAAATTAATTTTGAGAATGGGAATCCCTCCCTACCAGATACGATCTTCCGTTGTCTCTTTCGAACTGAAATGACCCATCAGTTCTGAGACCAATTTTCACATCCGGTTTTGCCAAGAAATTATGTTTACTTTTAATTAATAGCGAGGTGAGGCCGCTAGAACGGCTTAGAATTTTGCAATTTCATCCATGCCATAAGGAATATTAATCAAGAAACGTATATTCAGGTAATCAGAAATCTAATACTGGGTTAGTAATTTATTATTGTTAGTAGCGTAATGCCTGCAAAAAATAACACGTTATTTACGTATAAGCACTGGTGGACCCAGATGTGGGGGCAAGAGAGGAAGTCCGTCCCGACAGCAATTTTTTTTTGTCTAGAGAATTTAGTTCAATAAGTCTATTTTTTTTTTAAGCGTTTCACCTCAAGCAAGGCGGGAAGCTACTAGCACGCAAGGGGTTACAGAGAGTTGGAGATAATAATGGTTTTGATGATAGTATTACTAATTAACCCATTGCTGGGGGGAGGAAGAGGTGAAGTCATACCTTTCCCAAGGGCGTAAGAGAATATAACGAACCCAATTGGAATTGGAACACAGCTCCTTGATTAACAATTCTGAAACATTATTCATTACACCACTTTCACATCCAAGCTTACAGCACCTGATATTCCCAAGCAGTCACCCACCTAAGTACTGGCCAGGTTCAATGTTGCTTAACTTTAGTGACTGCATGGAAACTGGTGTTTCAATGTAATTTTTTTTTTGTTTTTTTTAAGCGTTTCACCCCTAGCAAGGCGGGAAGCCACTAGCATGCAAGGGGTTACAGAGAGTTGGAGCGAGAGCAAAGATGAGTGATAGAGAAAAGGATGAAGAGAAGGATAGGGGATAGATCAGGACATCTGGAGACGTCGATTGACATTACATTTGAATAGTTGGAGATTATAGCTATCGGGGAAACAGGAAATGGGAGGGAGTTCCACAGGTGAGAAGTGTGGGACATGAAGCTATTGGAGTAGAAGAGATGGCTACATTTAACAGTTTCAACAGTGAAAGGGTGTGAGCTAGATGCTAGCCTAGTTGAACGCTTAAATTCATGAAGTCTGGGAACTAGCGAAAGCAGCTCATCGCAGCAGTTACCGCGAAAGTATTTGTAAAAAAAGACAGAGGGAGGCGACGGCACGTATGTGAGAGAGCGACTGCAGACGAAATGCCAGATCAGGGCCAATTACATTGCATATCCGTCTTTGGATTTTATCAAGAACCTTGAGGCAAACAGAAGGGGCTCAAGACCATATATGGCAGCAATACTCCATTGAAGTAGCATGCAAAATTAGTCACGACTTTTACCCCACATCCATTATTTTTCAATCGCCATTTTACAGTTAAAATGGCGAGATGAAACCGGAAGTGGCTAGCGGCTCTGTGATGCGTTTTCATTGCTTTTTTTTTAAATAAATAGATTTCATGGTAATTATTCTAATAAACTTTCCTCTATGGTCCCTAGACGTAATAAATTCAATCGCAGGACTAGATTAGCGGAAATATCTCATCATTTTATAATTGAAATTGCTAGATGTAACCGTAAGTTCTATGCTAACAGTTTCTTCTACCACACTTCTCACTTGTGGAACTCACTTCCGGTTATGTATTCCCAGTCAAGTTTGATCCCTATATGCAATGTTGCAATCTTTAACTTCTGTCTTCTTAATTGCTGTTCTTTTCTTTTTATATAAAAAATATATTGCTGGTATTTTATATAAAAATATATTACTGGTATTTTTACTATAAAAATGTATTTTTATCTATTCATTTATTTTTGTTTGGTGGGGGCGTCACTCTTTGCTCATAGGTGGGACCCTAACAGGTGCTGTCACCTCGAGTCAGTTTGGATCTAGGAAGAACAGCAATTAAAACTGATTCCACGCTCAACAAAATCTCTATTTTCCTGATCGGGCCTTACTACCGGATGTTAGTTTATTGTCATAGTCAGGACTCAAACTGTAAGTATCAGGTAGTATAATGTTTACCTAGTGTTGTGACTGAGTTATGAAGACCAACAAAAGAAAACCGGAATTGGTTTAAATTGCTTATTACCCTTTGGTACAGAGAAATATAATGTAGAATAGAAACTATGGAAGAGAATGTTTAGCCATGAATGACTGTTTTCAGCAAAGGCTACTACTTCTACTGCTCGTCCTGTTACTCCTCTTGATGTAGGCGTATTATTATACTTTCATTATATATTTTGGAATATAGTTTGATTTAAGAAATTGTAGGATATTATATGGACTGATCTAATGAAAGTTATTTTATGTTAGTTGTTTGGTCGTATTTTAAACAGATTTTGGTGAAGTCGCTACAATTTGTTTGTGTGTGCATATTGTTGGTAATTTTTTATATAAAAATATATTACTGGTATTTTTACTACAAGAATGTATTTTTACTTATTCATTTATCTTTGTTTGGTGGGGGCGTCACTCTTTGCTCATAGCTGGAAACCTAACTGGTGCTACCATCCCGGGCTAGAGTAGACCCCGGGAACAACAGCAAGAGGTGTTTCCACGCTCTTCAAAACCTCCAATCTCCCAATCGGAGCCATTTCTGCCGGATGTAGTTTATAGTCATACCCAGGACAAATATACCCGTAAGTGAACGGTTATTATTCGATCACCGAAGTTAAGCATCGTAGAGCCAGGTCAGTACTTAGATGGGGGACCGCTTGGGAACACCTGGTACTGTAAGCCCCCAAAGTCCAACCCTTACCTCACAGTCGGTGGGGGGGTGTAAACGGTAGTGTCAGAGCTATGCCGTCCGGAACTTTGTTCCTGGTAGGGCCACCCAAGGCGGACAGGTCTGACACACACGCCGGCTAACAAGGGCTCTGGTGAAAATCCAAGGAGCGTCTGCATCGGTAACCGGCGGCTTCTGGTCGTTCCTGTCTCTGCGTCTGTGGGAACCCCGCGGCAAGCAAGAACGTTATCCGAGTAGGCCTGGATACCCTACTTCTGTAATTTATCCCAAGAATCTTCTTCTCATAACAGGAAGAAGCCGGCTCAATCCGCCCAGGGTGAATGCCGCATCAGTACAGTATTATTATATACTTACTTGTATACCCGTGCTGTCAAAAATGAAAGCAATCGTTAGAAAGTTTTAATAGTGAGATAAAGAAGTCACAACTAAAATGGAGTCCAGTGAACGTCAATGGGTATCTATGATTCATTGATTACTCCTGATATCATAATAGATCGCTTTTTGCTCAAAATCTTTTCATGTTAAAAAAAAAATATGTTTAATATAACAGAGAAATAGAAATATCTCTTGTATGAAAAAGATTAGCACCATAGCGACAAAAACGGTGAAGACAAAGTCTAGCTCAAGACCAAATTAAAGAAAGAAGATCACTTCATAGAAAAAGATATCGGAGTACCTCACATGAAAGGCTTGAACAAATAAGACTGCAGTCTAAGAAACGTAATAGTAATGAAACTGATTAATTAAACGATTCATTTTGTCCGGGAAGTAATAAATTTAGATAAATTTTTTATTTCTATAGATTATTAAAATAACTAAGGGAGGTAATCACTCATAAATTAAAATGACTAAGGGAGGTAATCACTCATAAATTTACAAACTTAAGTTGATTGGTTTCGTTTGCTTTGTTTTACGGCATACCAACATGAATGGATTATTTTATGCTGACAAGATTTTTATTACTGGAAATATTTATCCAAAAATGTATTGTTGGTAATATTTTTTTCTTCAAAAATTCATTGCTGGCAATATTTTTGCAAAAAATCTATTGCTGATATTAAAACCTATTTTTACACATTCATAGTGTTTTCACCCCAGTTTAGGGGTGAACTATTTTCCCATAGGTGGGACCCTAACAATTGCTACCACCTCGGGTCAGGGTGGACCTGGGAATACCAGCAATTAAGAGGTGGATCCATGCTCCTCAAAACCTCCTGATCAGAAGCCTTGCTGTTGGACGTAGTTTATCGTCTTACCCACGACGCGGATGTAGTTTATCGTCATACTCAGGACGGAAATTAAGTTGATTTATCTCCATTCCCACTACGGGTGGGACAGGAAATATATAAATAAATACATATTGGTAATTATTAATACGGTTTGTTGTTGTTGCTGTTGTGGCCTTAAAGTTTAAATTATCCGTTTCATTTTTCACTCGGGTTGCCCTAAATTGGGTCGTACTTCAACGCAATCAGAAAAAAAATCATTCTCTAGTTTACTGTAAACTAGTTGCCTGTGTGTAATCTGTTGTATTCTCTTCCCTTTCAGCCAACTCTCTTTTTCGTGCGTCTCGTTTTGTCCATTTTGTCGACATATTTTTTTAATTACCTCACGAGATTTGAAAATTCCACTAGAAAAAAAAAAATGATCACAAATTTGATCCTCTCAAAGAGTTTATTAAAAGTGACAAAGACTTGAATCTTTATTTCATGTCCGATATTCTTTGTCGTCTGCCACGCGTTACCTTTTTGCGAAAAGAAGATCATTCACATCAATTAAAATGTTATCAAGAGTGTATGATGAAATTTTGACATGAATCACAAACATCATGCTAAAGTTACCCGATGTAGTTTCTTAAGTATCGGTATTCAATTGCAATATCCTGCTATGTATCTAGAGAAACTTGATGAAGTCCAAAGAAGAATCAGCAAAATTATTGGTCCTGAGGTGGCGTCTCTGCTTCAGTCCCTTTCACATCGCCGTAAAGAAGCTTCATTGTGCCATTTCTATACAAGAAATCTTACATGTCTATAAGTCAACCATCAGTTCACGCTTCAAAGAAGAATCAGCAATATTTTTGGTCTTGATCTGGCGTCTCGGTTTCAGTCATTAGAATATGGCTGCCACAGATGGTCAGGTGCATCTGCTACAGATCTAGAGATCTTTGATAAAATACCAAAAAGAATCAGCTATATTTTTGGTCTTGATCTGGCGTCTCGGTTTCATTCACTATCCAGAATCTATCTTACATATCTATAAGTCTACCATTCGGCCATCCTTAGAATATGGCTGCCATATATGGTCAGGTTCTCCTGCTATTTACTTTGAGCTATTTGATAAAATCCAAAGAAAAATCAGCAATATTATTAGTCCTGACCTGGCGTCTCTGTTTCAGTCACTTTCCCACCGCCGTAAGGTTGCATCCTCGTGTTATTTCCATGAATATGTCCATGGTAATTGTTCGGGTGAGCTCTTCGCTATGGTACCTAGACTTTTTGAATTTCAGCACAGTATTAGACTGGCGAAGAGATCTCATCAATCTGCAGTTGAGTTGGTTAGATGTAACCGTAAGTTCTATGTTAACAGTTTCTTCTCTCGCACTTCTCGGTTGTCGAACTCACTTCCGGCCCCATGCTTTCCTTTCAAATTTAATCTTCACAAATTCAAATCTCCTGATCACACTTCTTTTGTTCTGGCTACTCAGTAATGTTTCTCTTTCTAATTTTTCCACACCCAGAAAACCCTCGTGGCTTAGTGGCTTTACTGCCTTGATTGGGTGGACTCGATTAGAAAACATCCTCACGTGACTATCGTATTTTTTCGCATAACACAATGAAATTTTGAAAAAAAATTTAAAGGTAAAATCATGCGTGGGGTGTATTATACACAAGTAAACGTTTTAAGAATTTTTTACTCCGTTTTAATAAACATCTATATTTGCAATAGAAAAATTGCAAATGATCTCAGCAGAATAGATAATCCAACTAAAAGCCGGGTTG